TTTTTATTTATTTATTAAAAAAAACCTTTTTTTTTTTATATCTAGTCATCTATTGATGGGCATTTGGGTTGTTTGGGAAGACAAACTAGTGCAACCACCATGAAAAACAGTGTATAGATTCTTCAAAAAATTGAAAATGGAATTGCTTTATAAGACAGCAATTCCACTTCTGGGAATTTATCTGAAGAAACCTGAAACATTGATTCGAAAGACTATATGCAACCCTATGTTCATTGCAGCGTTATTTAAACAGCCAAGACCGGGAAACACTCCTAGTTTTAATAGAATAGGGGGGTGCCACATTTTGCAAGGCCAAATGTTTCTTCTCTATACGTTCATCTTTCTTTTACTGTGCTTTTTCTCCACAAGAAAGAATTACTTTTGGTTACTCATGAAATCTTTCTTTATTAGTCAATCAACTGCACATTTATAGGACTTCCTGGGCTGTGTCATAGTTTTGTAATAGCGGCCGCGGCTAAGTTGTGTAGTTGCTAATTATTGCTGGAATCAATTACAAAATGTGACAACATGGCACTAATAACAAGTTCACTTTCATGAGCTATAATGTTAGCATAATTTCCTAACTATGGATTGCAAACATAACCAGGGGATGGTGGGGGACACTGGACAGTCCCCTCAGGTATTTATGGATGTAGCGTGATGCTTTATCTTACTAGTCAACTAAGAGAAACCACTGAATAGTCAAAGTTCTAAGGAGAGGATTAGTTAACAAGATTATTAGCCAAATACACATACACATCTATGTGTATATACTATATTCACAAATGGTAGAACATGTTTGATGCCCCAGGAAATTGATGATGATATGATAAATAAATAAATAGATTATAAGATGTATATACAAATGACTCTTAAACTGTGAAAAGATGTTCAAACCCACACTTAATAAGAGAAATGCAAATTTTAACTATAATGGACCAAAATCTAAAAGCTTGATAATATACCCTGTTGGTGAAGCTATGGAGAAATAGGGATGCTCACACATTGCTGGTGGAAATGTGAATTAGTACGATCCCATATAGAGGGCAAATATTGAAGTTAAAATGGCATATATCTTTGACTCAGGAATTCCATTGTTGGTGATATATGCTTCAGATAGTATTGTATGACATATGTAAAGATTATTCATGGCAACGCTGTGTAATAGCAAAAGGCTGGAGACAAACCAAAGTCCACCCAAAGTGACTGGTTAAATAATACTGTATATTTATAAAGTGATGCACTGTGTAGCTGAACTAAAGAATAGAGAAACTCTTTATGAAGTGATATGGAAAGATCTCTAAGATGCATTAAATTAAATAAAAAACAGGATCCAGAAAAATGTACATAATACGCTATGGTTGGTGTAATATGCTATGTTTTATGTTCTATAATACTAATATATATATATATATATATATATATATATATATATATATATATCAAAAGAAACTAAGAGTAATATTTCCATGGAGATGGAATAAAATGCTGGAAGGATATTCATCAAAACGTTAGAGCCTTTCATAAATAATGGAAATATGAGTGATTAAATAAATTATAGGAATTTTCACTGCACTCCATAATGCATAGTTTTAAGTATAATATAATGTTTTAAATGATTTTGCAAGAATACAAACCAAGTTTATCTATAGCATTTTGTAGCCCAAAGGTATGTGCTTATGAATATAGAAGCAAGGGGTGAGGGCTGTGGAGACTGTCTGGGCCTTATTCTCTGGTTAACATTTTCACATGCCTCCCAGGAAAGGCATTTGTACCCCCCAAAGACAGTTGGGAAAGTTCCAAGGGCTGGGGCATAGGAACACAAAATGCAGAGGTCAAGTAAACATGAGAATGGCTGGGGCCGGTCCACGCTGTCTTATCCGAGGTAAGTGCTCATTAATGATGCCATTCCAGGCAAAGCCCACAGAAGATCGTTTCTTATGGAGAAACTGCCGGGGTTATCCCAATAAAAGCAGTTTCCTGACTTTGTAAAAGCAAAATTCTTTAAATAGCATTTAATTGTAATTGTAAAAAAACATGAAACATACATTTCAGGAAAGGGCATACATCAAATTACCTGGTATAATAAGTAACCTTTAAGCAAACATTCATGCGACTACCACTGAGCTCAGGAAATAGAATGCCATCCCCTCAGAAGAACTTCTCAGTGTCCCTTCTTGATCACATCCTGTCCCTCCCCCGAGAGAAAATTACAGTCTGCACTTCCATGGCTACGACTTCTTTGCTTGCATTTATAATTTTGCACTCTTAAAGATATGCTTTCATTTTGCCTGGCTTAAAACTTTGTCTATAAGAGTCATCCACGTTGCATAGAGTAACATTTTGTTCATTCTATTAACTATATCATTTTCTGTTTCATGCTTGTACCACAAATTTTTTTTAATCTACCTTACTGATGATGGATATTTGGACTATTTCCAGGCTGGGGCATTAAGAACAATGCTGATAATACGGACAATATACTAGGTGTATTTGGGTGCATACACCCATGAGTTTTTCTAAGGTTATTATCCAGAGTGAAATTGGGAGGTCCTGGGGTATAAATAGCTTCTTCTTTTTTTTTTTCTAGATATTACAAAACATTTCCCAAAGTGGTTTTATCAATGTATACTTCTCTTAGCAGTCTACAAAGGTTCTCATTGTCCCTCATCATTACCAAAAGTTCTAAATGCTTAGTTTAGTCAGGCTTCTTTTTAATATATTTTACTGATTTTTTACAGAGAGGAAGAGAGAGGGATAGAGAGTTAGAAACATCAATCAGCTGCCTCCTGCATACCCCCCACCGTGGATATGCCTGCAATCAATGTACATGCCCTTTACCAGTATCGAACCTGGGACCTTTCAGTCCACAGGCCGATGCTCTACCCACTGAGCCAAACCGGTTTCGGCTAGTCAGGCTTCTTAACATTTGTTAGTCTAGTAAGTGTGTAGTAAGATCTCTTGTTTTTAATTTGCATGTCACTGGTGATGAATGAAGTTGTGGACTTCCCCATATGTTAATTGGTCATTTGGATATTTCTTTCTGTGAAGCAGATGTTCAAAACTTTTGCCTGTTTTTTTTATTGGATTGCCTTCTTTAATAGTGCTTAATTTAATCCATGTATTAATAAAGAGTTTAAATGATGAATAATCAGGGTTAGAGGTTCACCATGCAGCCAGAGAGGGCAAATGCAGCAACTTACAATTTTTTAGAAAATACCTCTTTCTATAATTAGCTGGCCCAAATTATTAACGGGATGATTTGGGCCTAAGCATCTGCCCACCACCCTGTCTGCTGCCAGTCATCTTCCCTTGTACCCAGGTCAAAGTATAATGTCAACCACAATAGTTAACATTCACCAGAGTCTTACCAGGTGCATGGTGCTGGGCAAAGCAAGGTATCTTATTTGTCTCTCTCAGTACCTCTATTAGGCTTGGAGGCTTAAATAACCATTAGACTCAACTAGAGAGTGAAATGACTGAAAGTTGATTCCCCATCTAACTGCTTCTACTCATTATTATCCTGCCTCAAACAAAGATTTTTTTCTGGTTCCAAATTCAGGATTGACATGTATCATGGGGATGGCAATCATTTCTAACAGAAGAGAATATAACCAAGTATTTAATTTACAGCTGGAAAAATTAAAATTCCTTAAAATTATAACATGATGATTATGAAGTGTAGGTTTATGTGAAGTTTCCTACGCCCTTGATTTATGTTTGCATCATAACCCATACATGAATGGCAAATATAGATTCTTTCAACTTACTGCTGCATTCATAAACATTTTATTCATCTTGAAAAGGTAAAATCACATGCCCTTATGTGGACTTACGTTTTAGGATAAAAATCATGATATAAACAATGATAGCAAACCCACTCACACATGTAGCAGCAGCAACAACCCTACACTCTCTGAGCAAGAAAAAGACAGCACAGCACGCTGAATTGTGTCTCAAGGGGCCTTTCTACTCATTAATAAGCATACCGCAGCAAAATGTTTAAAAGCAAAACACTAATTTCTTGGACAAGCCCCCACCCCCCAAGAGATCTGTGGGAAAGTAAACTTTTATTTCCAAGTTCAACTGTGAATTTGTTGGAAGCTAAAAGAACTGTGCGTATTTAAAACCAAATTTGTAGAAAGGTGAGCTGTGACATAGAAGCATCGAACAGACTGTCGAACCACAGAGGGAAGGCAGGGTGGGTGGGAGGAGATTAACCAGGGAACCTGTGTGTATATATGCATAATCCATGGACACAGGTAATAGCGAGGTGAAGGTCTGGGGTGAGGGGCAGTGGTGGGCTAGAAGGGGTCAGTGGGGGATAAAAAGGAACATAAGTAATACTTTTAACCATAAAGATTTAAAAAAGTAAAAAAAAAAAAAAAAATCAAACTGCATTCCATGAAGTGGATGGCAGCTTTTGAAGCAGCTCATATAATAAACTTTAGTTCATAGGATTCCCCCCACGTTTGAGGGAACCTTCTGGATTGAATGTGCTTCTGCATCCTTTATGGCTTGGAAAGCTATGTTCTTTCTCCCATCAAGACCCTGCTCAGTTTTGTTTGAAATAATAATTTTCAGTGTCCCTTTTTGGCTGAGCATTGATCCCCCCCACGCTGCTGGGCTGATTAAATCCCACTGTTGGCCTCACACTGTGCAAGAGGGCAGATGGCATTCTGTAGCTTAGTAGAAGTTGCCAGGCAAAGAAATGCAGGCACAGCTGGGCAGTCACTGATAAAAGGCAGGAAGAATATGAAGGGCACCCAAAGGGTCTGCCAGAACAGTATCTGGGTCTTTTATTTTGATTTTCTTTTAAAATCCAGAATAACATTTGGGACATAATAGTCCCATGATATCGATAGACACATCGACCCAATACCAGAGTGGTGTTGAAGAGTGCTTACAGATCCACATGAAATCCTAACCGATAAAAGAACGTGGAAAGAAAGAAGGAACAAGGAAGGGCGAAGAGGCACCAGGGAGTCATCTCTACTCACACTTTCTCGTAAATCTTGTTGTGGTATTCCGGCCATTGGATCATGCACACCATTCTGTTAGGCATGGTCACCGTGGTTGCGTAGTAGCCCTGGGGGAAGGCTAGCAGGAGAGCCAGGACCCAGATGACAAAGATGACCACCTTGGTGGCTGTCCCCGTCAGCCGGGGCTTGAGGGGATGGATGATGGCCATGTACCTGGAACAGAGAGAAAAGGACAAAGCTCCGATTTAGTCACCAAAATCTACATTAGATTATGTATTGTTCCTCCCAAGGAAAACTTCCTCCAAACCCTTGAATCCTGGTGAGTTTTATAACTGTTTTCTTTTTAAAATTAAATTAAATATTTTTTCACCATCATTTGTCTCCCCATCCCATCCTCCTCCACCCACCCCTCTCACCCCCAATCACCACAACTGTTACAACTATTTTCTGATATCTCTTTCATAGTCTATCCATAAGTGTTATGTTTTTTTTTATGATATGAAACAACTAAAATCCATAAGAAAAATAAGGCAGATTTTCTATTTCAGATCCCATCAAGCAACATTCCAGGAGAGAAGTTTTCATCATAGAAACGCTGAAGCTAAGGACACAATGTCCAAGTATAGGTCAGTGGCTTACAGCGAATCAGAAGAAAACAACAACCAAGGTCATAAATGTATTCAATTTAAAGACTATCTTTATCCTTTTTGGAGTAGGGAATAATGGTGATAAAAACAGTAGTTTTTAAAGTTCTTAAGTGGCAATTTAAAAGGCTAGCAATCCTCCATCAGCCCATACAGTTTGAAGGAAAGTGAATATGTGTGTGTGAGAAAGCAAAAACAACAACGGCTCCTGGATAGCCTCATCAATCCTTTGAACATCTAGAAGAGAGTGTGATAACAACCCATGCCTCAGGAGAAGGAAGAAAGTCTCCACCTGCTGAGACAGACACAATAGAGCCTGTCAAAGGACGGGTCCATGAAAGCTCCTTGCAGGAAGAGGAAGGGGGAAGCAAAGTGAATGACGCCTTAGGGCTTAGGGCTCTTCCTCCATCTCTCACACTGGGACCTGACACTCAATGTGTTCACACATTGGAATTTGTGTGCAGCCTCTGAGGGACAGTGTACCTTTTAGGAATAAGAATCATTTTAATCAGCATTTCATGTCAGTTATAATCACATCAATGCTGCCTCTTCCATTTAAAAAAGGCATATTCTTTTGTGTATTTTTCTTGCAAAGTGTATGGATCCATTCCTTAAAATATGCATGCATTTTGTTCAGAGTAGGAATGAGGTCTTATACTGCCGTTGGGCTTTAAATATTATCTGGTAAATCCTCAGAATGGTGCATTTGATTCTCAGACACGCAGGTGTTTCTGGCTTCCAGGGACAGAATGGTCAATGGAGACTTAAGATGTGAGTAGACAGCAGCACAGGTGTCAGCTGCCTCCACATAATTCCACATAATTCGTTCTCCACACTCTTTGGACTTCTAGGATCTCGAGGCCAGACGGGGTTACAAGTAAAGCAATTTCAATCAGTATGCATGCCACACATCCACACTGGGCACCTGCAGTATGCAGAACACAGCGTTTCCTTCTGGGCTCCGAGCTTCTAATTTCTCCAGGGAGAAGGGGCACATAAATAATCAGCCTCAACGTGACAGTAGGATGTTCAGCCTCCATCGGCAATCTGGTAAATACCTTAGAACCTTAGGGAAGCCGCAGAGGTAATCAAGCCTTGGAATGGCAGGGGGACTATTGGAGGCGAGTAAAGAGGCATGCATAGCTGGGTTTGGGGTGAGTCTGCCTGAGTACCTTGGCTTGGAGGGCAGGGAGCATTCAGAGCCTCCTTCCCTTCTCTATGTTGTGATTAGATCTCCCTCCGTGTCCAAGAAGCTTGATGGCTCTGTTTTTATGAAGGCCTTCCTGAGTTTCCTTTTAGCATCCTAAACATTAGAATATCTTTCCCACATTTTCTTGCTAGGGACCTACGCTCTCCTTCTCTGGACTCCAAGAGCAATGCCACTGAAGGTGTTCAATGCATGAGGATGCCTCAAGCAGCTTTTGCAGAGATGATCAGGAGTGATGGTAACCTCCAGGAAGGGAACTCCAGAATCCTTCTGTCTCTTCTGGAAAGAGGGTAGATGATCTTGAAGTCAAGATGGAGTGAAATTAGGAAGAGGCTTGAAAAATATATTGTATTGGTGGTGAGGAGTAATTTACAAATTTCTGGGCAAGTTTCCCTGGTTGAGTTGATGGTTTTAGAGCCTGTGGCCCAAGTTCCATCTACAGAACATCAGAAGGGCAAAAACAACCCTCATGATGTTGTGACTCAAGCTTTGTCTGTCTTCTTTAGGTTTCTCCAAGGGGCCACAGCTACTTCCAAGGGAGGTCCTATATATGTAGACTTGAGGACCTCCCACTCCTGGGATGGTTTTCTGAAAAGAGCCCTGAGAAGTCTTGATTTCCATCCTGGATCTGCCTCTTTCTTGCCACGTGACAGCACTAGAGCATTGATTTCCTCTCCAGCTGTGGGGTTAGAGTGGATGGGGGATTCTCAAAGTCAGAACCAACAAAGGTGGACCTTTGTTGCAAACACTGTCTTGTCTTCTTTCCAGTTATTGGATGGCCATGGCCAGAATCTCTGAGTATTTGCATTAAACTTGTAGGCTTGCTTATTGGATCATTTTCCAGAGGCAAGATCTTTCTTCTACAAAGCCGGACCCATGAAGATGCCTTTTCTTTTCAGCACCGCCCAGGCTCCTGCTCTCACTGTGGGCTGTGCATTCTCAGCCTTCTCAGGGAATGAAAGAGGATGCCCAGGGGAGAATGTGCTAATGACATTGCCCCCTTTTAATATTACCTCAACTATTTTAATTTGCTTTTAACTCAGGATACATGCTCAGTCTTAAATAAACATACCCTAACACCCCTTCCCTAGCCCACGACGGCAATCCACCATTCAGAATCTAATGCGGCTGGGGCTTAGGGAGGATTGCATCAGTTTATTGGTACTGTAGCTCCAAATGGTGGCAGAGAGCCATATTTTATCTCTATTGCAAAAATGGCAATTTGGGAGCCCGTCTCAGTTAACTCTCTGCCGGTACTTGAGTGTAGGAGCCATTTCAGTGACACATGAAAGTATTACCCACTTAAAGCCAGAAAGAATAAAAAAGATTGGCTTTTAAAAATGTATGTATTTTTTATTGTTCAGAAACACAGCCGTTTATAAATCTCCCTCCTGTCTTTATTTTTTTTTTATTATTTCTTTTTTTTTTCTCTCTCTTGCAATCTTTACTTCTAGGGTTTGTGTGACATGCTTCATTCTTATGTACCCCAAAGCTAGCACTGTTTGGCTACTTTGTCCACAGATGGAAGCATGTTTTTTTGTTTGTTTTTTTTTTTCTTTCCTACTGCCCATTTCTAGCTTGGATTCCTTTACACATTCATGTATTTGTTTGTAACCACCCCGGACCATTCTCGTGTATTAGATTATAAGTTATCACTGAGCCAGTGCTGTGAAGCCCTAGGAAAATGCTTTCAATAAATATTTATCGACTGCATTGTGCTCATGGGACTGGAAGACAGTCAATGAAACGTCTTCTTAGTTTACGCATTCATCACCAGGCAGCCAGAGATGGGTCTGGAGGCTGTATGGATTCTGTTCTCCACTTCAGGTTGTTCCAGTCCCACGGAGGGCCATCGGCTGTTTTGAATTGTATCTGGCCTCCCAGCTGAAAAACTTGACGTGCTGTCTTCCTCTTACATGATTATACTTTATAAAAAGAACTCTCCATGTAGTCCCCTAAATCTGGAAAAATATAAGGCTGCACAGTTGTGTTTTATTTATTTTTTTTAAATGCAGAGTGAAACAACTTTATGGGGGGAAATAATCCAGTCTTCTGACAAGAGCAGTATCCTCACAGCTTCCTCCTATACTAACCCTACATCTTCTGAAGAGAGGATGTCTTTCCTCTACCTGAAGATCTGTCCTACCTCTTACCATATCCATTCCCCACCATTTCAGTCCCCCTTCTCTTTTATCCCCCACTCACTTCTTCCTGGGTTGATACACATTTCCTTTAAAGAACTGTATCTTCCTGGGTTTAAATGACCAGGAGTGGTGACAGTTGAGAGCATGGCTGCTGTAGTCTAGCTTAAGGACTGGCTTTTTTTTTTTTTTTTCCCTGTAAACAGCCAGATAGTGAATATTTTAAGCTGTGTGGCCCATACAGTTTCTATCATAGCTACTCAACTCTGCCTTTGTTGTGCTAAGGCAGCCGTAGACAAGACAACCATTGGGGATGATTGTGTGCCAATAAAATTTTATTTTATAAAAACAGGTGGTGGCTAGACTTGGACCCCTGGGTCTTAGTTTGCGAATCCATTGTCTAACACATGAAGGACTCAAACTGGAGCTCCCTGAGGGGTTAATCTCAGAGCCCACAAGCAGTCAGTAAGGTGCTCAGTCATCAGTCATAACCCAGAGTCTCGCCTCTTGTCTGAGTACAGTGGTCTCTAGCCCAGGATGGTTTTCCTCCTGTCTCCTCCTGGCTGACTCCTGCTTATTGTCTTGGCTTGGCCCAGTCACACTTCGCTTTATTTACATATCACACCTGCCTTTTTTATTCATCCTCCACAGATACTTTGAGGTTTGCAGTTGCTGTGACTTATTTTTATCAGTATCCTTGGCCTCCCTGAGCCTAGTAAATGTAGTATACACTCAATAAAAGCTTAATTAAAGTAAATATACAAATTTCTTGGAACATAGCTGGGGTTCTGTAAATGGCTTTGGAATAAAAATAAATGCAACAGGAGAAACACACACACACACACACACACACACACACTATAATTTTATTCCTTCCAGTCGAACGTGTGTGAGAATAATTACTGCTCTGTGTTTTCCATTATACAGACACCCAGGATCATCCTACAGAAGTGACCTTACTGGACCTGAGTCATCAGACTTTCTCATGTCTTGATATTAAATCTTTAAATCAATTCTCAGTATGTACCAGTTGATTAAACTCTGCATTGGCCAATATGTTGGGAACTGTGCAGAATTCAGTCTTTCTGGTATCACCCTCTGGCTTTTCCTATGAACAAGAGGCTATTCTGTCCCTTTTCTTCCCATTTTCTTCCATCTCAGGGACCACACAGCCTTTCTCCCTGAGAACAATAACATTCCATCGGTTGGGGTTTTCTCCCA